AAAACTGTCATCTCACCCTTATCATTGTTGATGTGCAGTAGATGATAGATGCACTTCAAATATCAAAGCTGTTTTCTTATTATTTAAAATGTAATTAATGTTTTGTAAGGAATCTGACATTCCTAAACAGGAATCTACTTCTGTATCATTATTGTTTATTTCAATGGTTGCTTTAGAGACATTTAAAAAGGAGTATTTAGGTTATACAGTCTTAAAAGCTGTCCTTGGTTTAAAGGACATGAGACACGATGCAAAAAGATACGCTGTCATTTTTAAGACTACTACTGCTTGCATTAGTTGGGATTAAATGATTAATCAATTTATCTGAACAAAATTCAATGTAAGTGGGAGGTGGCTAGCCTTTTTCACCGTTTTCCAGCAGAGAAGTAAGATGTGGTCTCTCTTGAGTGTTACACCTAGCAAAATAACATTTCAAAGCATGCAACTAAGTTTTTCATATTATCTTCAGCAAGCAAATTATTCTAGCACAAAATCAGGAATCTACTCATGACCATTATGCAAGACTCAGTAAATGATCTTCAAAATACACGTTGGTTTTCTCTGAAAAATACTGGTAGATCACTCTCATACACAACCACAGCTTTTTGAGTGGCTGAAATACTATTTTTCTTGTTGTTCTTCCCCAGATAGCTGACTCCTGTCTGTTACAACCCCAACACTGTGTGTAATCCACTTTTTTAAACTGCGTTGCCTATAAGCAGTGTATTTTAATTGCCCGGAGCTAATGTGCTTATAGTCTTAAATCCCCCTTACTGTTCACAGAAACCGAGCAGGCACTGAGAGGATCAACAGATGGGAGTGCCCAGCTCTGGCTGCTGTTGGAAGTGGGGGAGAGAAACATTATTATGTAGTTGCTTCATAAAAATAGGCTGGATTCTTTAGACAAGGAGTGGCCAGCCACAGCAGGATCATTTGCATTGCAGTATGGTCTCCAGAGAAATCCTGCCCAGAGTTCTGGGACTGCTGCAGCACTTTCACTCCTTGCTATTATTTGCTGAATGTGAAATCATATGGATGTGCTGACTGTGTTTAAGGATGTCACACAGAAAAGGAACCTCCCTGCATCTGACACCCATGCTGATAGTCACTTTTACAAACTTTGCAAATTACTGCATGAAGAAGAAAGGAAGAATGAGCGTGTGTATGTGTGTCATTTCTGCTAGGAGGGACTGGTGAGCTTAGCAATCATCCTTGTTTCACTGTGAATCATAACTCCTGACTCACTGCCACGACAATATATGGGTCAGCCTCGCAATCTGGAAATGGGACAGCAGGATTAGTCTGTGCAACAGGAGACTTGTAGATTGCTATCAACCTCTCCCTGAAGTGGCTGAGCATCTCAGCTTCTGCTGGACATTGTGCATAGTTGGCATAACAGAAAATCTTTGAAAGTACCAATGAATTAAGGACTTTTGACACCTGGAGACATGCATCCTCCTGAGACTTCCATGTACTTAAACAATCTAAACAGGACCTCTCCATTTCAAGGCCTGGTTTTACTTGTGATGGCACTGGTGGAGGGAGCGAGAGGAGGATAGCCATGCAGTTATGTAGCCACTCTCCCATCATGAATTTCCCAGCTCATGCTAAACTAGGCAGTGCTGGCAGGGAAAACACAACCCCTTACCTCCCTTGGCATATCAGCCCTTGCTGTTTCTGCAGTCTTCTACAGCAAATGCCATTATCCCCACGTTTAAGGTGTGGAAGCTAAGGCAGATGGTTCAAGTGAACTTACCAAAGGCTCCCAGCTGTCTTTCAGACACAGAATGAGACTGAGGGAGCCCTTTGTTGTTTATTCCAGGTTGTCTCTTACGTTACTGACTCATTACTGACACACTCATCTTTGTTGCTAAGGTGACACTGCACCTAGTTCAACAGAAAAAAGCCGAATGGAGGCCCTTCCAGCCTTTACTTGCTCTCAGCGGCTGCCTAAGGGCACCGCGCTATGCAACTGGTCTAGGGTCCCCTGAGGACACATGAAGTGCAATGGCCCTTTCATTATAAATCCCAGCCCTAAAGGAGGGACTGTAAATAATTCCCCATCTTTTGAGAAAGGTAATCGCAGTTACTCAGTCCCAATGTCCTGTTTTCATGGTCAAGCATATAGCCAAGTCCGTAACACACTGGATAGGGAATTTTAATGCCGAAAATATGGTTACAGGGGCTATCATTGTTAAGATGTTTTCCCTTTTTTGTCACATCCCTGAAGTAATCAAAAGCTCAGGAACACTGATCGCATACATTTGCACTAGCTGAGATGAAGCTGACATTTTTCTACTTCTCTGAGCCCCGTATCAGGCCAGGAAACAGGCAGCCTTCATGCAAGACTGTAAAGGCATAAGGGGAAACTCTGAAGTGCAAATTTCATCTCTCCATATATACATCTCCATACATGGCAGGGAGCTGCCTTGGAAGCAGTTATGCTAGTTTTCTACCATCAGACTGCTTCCCTTAGCAGTGTATGAAGAATAAGGAAAGAATACACCTAGTTATTTACAAATATTATATGAGGACAAGTTGATCTGCTTGGTGCTATTCTGCCAGAAGTTCAAAGAGATCACTGAGAAGAAAGCAAGAGAAAACAGAATAGCATTAAAAAAAAACGCAGTCAAAAGATCTCCAGTGTTCTTCTAGGAAGACTAATTGTCAGGGAGGGCTAACCAAGCTCTGACAGCTTGACCCTCCCACATCTGAGGTTGGGATCAAATGGGATAGTAAATGATAAAAAGAAAAAAACCCTCCAGCCTTATTAAAGAAACAGATTGGGTTAGTTGTCACGAGTAACTGAGGTCTCCTAATGAGTAGTGAAAAGCACACAAGAAAAAAGGCAGACAGCCATGAATTACAGCAGGCTAGATGTCTCCCCCAACTCAGAGGTGGCTTCACTGAAGAAACCCTACAAAAGCTTGACAGGAAAATAAGTATGTATTTTGCCCTGATTATTGTACATCTTTCAGTGAATAAATAACACTCTTATTCTGAAGGAGCTAGGTCTGAGCTACTTTAATTATCCACTACCACTGGCTCCTGTAATAGGGATGAAAAACACACAACACAGCTTGGCTTTCCAGAGTTAACACAGATACACAGACAGCAAACAGGCTGACTGCAGCAGACAGATCCAGTCTCACAGTGAGAGGACTACATTGTTCCACCTGGAGGAGGACAACATGGAGAACCACCTAGTCTCAAAGGGCATGCTCAGGAAGGTCTAAAGCACCACATCGATAAGCATGAGCTATGGGACTGTTCATTTAGGGCAGGTTTTGCCTCCTTTCTTGCGTCTGCTTGTCATTAAGGTCAAGGATCTGAATGCCATCTTGGCCACCCCTTCATTTTGAGTGAGGTATAGAATTATAATCTGAATCAGGACTAATATCCATATCGAATGGTTTGATTCTACGGCTACAATGGAAAAAATAAAATCCCAGAATACAAATACTCTCTGACTTCAAGGGATTCAGCATCCTCAGTAGAATGCTTTGCTGTTTGGGTCCACCTTCCAAATTCAAATTCTCATCCTGTTGCGTGCTAAGACCCCACAGCTCCTATACTATCTTCAACAAAAACTACAGAGTATAGACATACTGCTCTCTTGTATGACTGCAAAGCACAATCCAAACCATGAAAACTAAGTCACACCTTCAACACATCTCAGATTATTACTAATAAACAGGCACAGTCCTGGTATAAACACAGCCAACCATTTGCACATGTTTAATTACAGAATATACCTCCATAATTTAATAGGATAATTATTGTTATTGTACTCATCGTGGGAGCTAGTTTTCTGAGGTAAAAGACACAGGACAGCAGATGCTGAAAGTGGAAGGAGCAAGGCACCAGAGATGTTTACCACACAAACACAAAAGAAGTGTTGACCACAGTCCTGACCCTGTAACTCAGTTGAAGGCAACTGCCCAGCGGAATGAGGACTCTGCTAGAACCGTGCCCTCTGCAGCCAGCATTCTGGCAGAAGCCACCACCGTCTCCCAAGCACACCTGCCTTGTGCAAACTGCTGACGTGGCTCCATCTTCCATTCGCTGTGACTACAGAAGAGCCAGAGGCCGTTGACGCGTGCTGCCCAGTCGGTCTTTGGAGAGGAACGGAGGCGGCCTGCCTGGCCCAAGGACCCCAGCACAGACCAAGGACAATTTTCAGACCCACATCAGACATGCACCCGATTAATTTTAAAAGAGTTACACTTGCTTACACACGGTCTGAGGGAGGTTTTGAGCAATAATAGCAGGTTAGCTGAATTGGTTATAAAGAGGCTTTCTCAGTGGAATTGGTTTTAGAACATTTAGGGCTTTTAATGGAGGATGGAGGATTCTGCTGGCAGGAAAAGTATACAGCGTCACACATCAACTGCCCTACACTGCTGGACACAGCGGGGTCTGCGACCAAACGAGCCCATTTCTCGGGCGGTGGGCTCCTGACTAGCGGTTCTTCGCCTCGAGAGGCGGCTGCTTGCCCTGCTTCAGCACAGGGAGCTGGCGAGCTACCACTGTGCGGCTCAGGCCTCCTCCTTCCCCTCTGCCACTTTATCCGGCTCCTTTTCTCCGCCGATCCCGACTCCTGGCGCCCACC